AGAGAGAGAGAGAGAGAGAGAGAGAGAGAGATGTGGGGAGACTTTTCCAGCGCAACCCAGATATTTGGTTATTACCTACATGGAAAACCCTTGAAGACAAAGAACTATAATTCTAAAGTCAAAACAAGACAACAAGATACGTACTTCCTCCTTCCTTCAAAAATAAAGAAAGAAGGAAAGAAAGAAAGAAAGAAAGAAAGAAAGAAAGAAAGAAAGAAAGAAAGAAAGAAAGAAAGAAAGAAAGAAAGAAAAGAAAGAAAGAAAGAAAGAAAGAAAGAAAGAAAAATCGAGTATATTCACAGTTGTAAGAAACAGAGCTGAGAACAGAATGTCATACTTAAACAAAACAACTGACAGTCCACAATAATCACGATTTACACAATGCCAACTCATGAATTACTTTAAGAGAAAAGAAAAACCAACATCTTTACTCAGTGCAATATTTTTGGACTAGGATTATCATGTTTTGTTCAAAGACATATTTATGGCACCATTGATCAAAGAGGTGTGCCATATCAACTTAATTTCTTATCTTCAGACTATGTGAAACTGTTTTTCAACCATCAGAATGTGCTACACCACAATTAATACTGACGTATGAATAACGGGAAGGTGCTCAAAATGATTCGGCTCGTTGCCTCACAGTTTTGGAGTTCTTTCTTCACAACATTCATCATAGAGATAAACACTAAACATCTTAGGGAAGTGTGCAAGTTGCGCACGTTAAAGATCCCTTTGTGGTCCAAAATCGATAAGAATAGGCTTCGGCCGCTACCCGGGTGAAATTCAAAATTTCCTACCAAATAAAAATGTTTAATGTGTCTCGTTTGCTCATATGAACTAATACAGCATGACCTAATACAGTTACCGAAACAAAAACAAAAAAACAAAAAATGAGATAAAAACATCTTAGATGAGGAGATGATTGAACAATGATTTGAGCTCACCATATTTAAGCAGGGTGGTCAGGGTATCGTTCAGCGCGTAAGCGATCGCCCAAACCGCGTCATAGGCCTCAGGTGACCGATGTTCTGCGTACAGCAGCCAGTCCCGGTTGAAATACGTGCTATCTGGTCCGAACATGTGTCGGTACTCTTTGGGAATATCATCCTTCACGGCTCTGAGAATGGTAAACATATCGCATAAAAATTATTATTATTATTATTATTATTATTATTATTATTATTATTATTATTATTATTATTATTATTATTAGCAGTATTATTTGATGATGATGATGATGATGATGATGATGATGATGATGATGATGATGATGATGATGATGATGATGATGATGATCATGATGATGATTATTATTATATCATCCTCCTCATCATCATCATCATCACCACCACCATCATCAAATGAAGAAGAAGAAGAAGAAGAAGAAGAAGAAGAAGAAGAAGAAGAAGAAGAAGAAGAAGAAGAAGAAGAAGAAGAAGAAGAAGAAGAAGAAGAAGAAGAAGAAGAAGAAGAAGAAGAAGAAGAAGAACAACAACAACAACAACAACAACAACAACAACAACAACAAGAAGAACAAGAAGAACAAGAAGAACAAGAAGAAGAAGAAGAAGACCAATGCTTGTCTACCTTTTTATAACCAGCTCCGACTTTTGCCACCTCTGAAAAGGCTTTAATTTTTGTAACCATCCAACTCTACGTATTTCCAAGCGTGACGTCAAATAACACCCCCCCCCCCCCCCCCTAATTACGAAACCGCCCAGTGATGAAGGATATTACCCAGGTTGGTTAGCGCTGGATTAGATTTTTAGAATATAAATAACAGAGAACTTGAGCTGATGGGTGACAGAAAAAGACTTGGAGAGTTTAGGGGTGTTTTACAGGGGGGGGGGGGTGTATTTCAATTGTTATTCATTTATCATTGTATTTATGTATTTATTTTATTTGTTTATTTTGTTTGTTTTGGGGTTGCTTTTTGTTTGTTTGTTTTTTGTTTGTTCTGTTGTTGGTGGTGGGGGGGGGGGTTTGGTTTGTTTGTTTGTTGTTGTTGTTTGTTTGTTTTTTTTTGTGTTGTTTTTTTTTTGGGGGGGGGGGGTCGACCAGTCGATCAGAGAAGGGGGGTCACATCGTGATCAGTGATGTCCGTTTCACACCTGGTGGCACTTGGAAAAGATGACTTAATTAATTGTCTCCCGTCGTGGTGGAATCAGGCGCTCGTCAATTTTTAGGCACGTGGAGTTATTGGTGTTATCTTTTAGCTTATTCAGCTGTCTTGTTATCAGTGAAATTTATAATACCCATCTATCTTGAATAGAAATCGAGATATTTGCGATTGAGGGAGGAAGGGTTGCCTGGCCTCAAAGGCAAAACTAGTGAGAAAATGGTAGAGGGGCAAAACAGAAATGGAGGAATAAAAAGAAGTGTATTTTTTTGGTTGGTGCGTATGTGCATGCCTTCACGTACATCAAGGATGTCAAGATCTGAAGTGGGTTTGAGGGGGGGGGGGGGGAGACACAAAGAGAGAGAGAGAGAGAAGGGGGGGGGGAGAGAGAGAGAAAGAGAAACAGAGACAGAGACAGAGACAGAGACAGAAACAGAGAGAGAGAGAGAGTAGGAGGGGGGGGGGGTAGTACTTAGGCAATCTACTTCCCTTTGTCTACCTCCCAGGCAAAGCTGTATTGCACACTCAGCTTTAAGATCACATTATGTAATGACGCAGAAAGCAATGGTCGGGGTAAACATGTTGTTGTGTATATGAAATGTTAATGGTGTCAGCTCGACAAGTGCACATGCACCAAAGTGTTCGTAGATGTAGATCAATGTACGTTTTTTGTGTGTGTGTTTGCACCAAAGTGTTCGTAGATGGAAATCTATGTACGGTGTTTATGAGTGTATTCATTCATGTGTGTGCATGGGTCAGTGGGTTTGAGCGCGTCTTTTGTGTGTGTGTGTGAGTGTGAGTGAGCGGGGAGTGAGAGTGAGAGAGAGAGATAAAGAGAGAGAGATATATATAGAGAGAAAGAGAGATAGAGAGAGAGGGTGTGTGTGTGTGTGAGCGTATGTGTGTGAGTGTGTGTATTTGTGTATGTGTGTGTGTATGTGTGTGTGTATGTGTGTGTGTGTGTTAGTGCTGAAAAAGTGTGCCAGTGGGTGTCGGAGCAAAAGGAAAAGCTCATGAAGGAGACACAGTGAAAAGATCTAATAAAAGGTGGTTGGCAGATATTATCTTTTGTTTAATTGGTTTTTACATATAGAGCGATTTGTTAATTATTATAATTTTGAAAGTAAACTATAAATAAATTGAAGGGTCGACTGATTTATAAAAGAAATAAGAAATACAGAAAGCAAGAAAAAAGAAAGTAGAAAATAATGACAAAGAATGAACAAAAAAAGAACGAAAGAAAGAAAAAGGATTTAAAAGGGTCATGAACAAGAAAGAAATACAGAAAGAAGAAAAACGATAACAAACAAAGAAACAAACAAACAAAAAGGAAAAGAAACAAAGAAATGCGGAAGAAGAGAGAAAAGAAGGATCCGTATCTCAGATTAGTAGATAGAATTCGTTCCAATAACTTACTCGTAGAGATTCTGTCCAGAGTACAGCTCTTTGTACCGTAAGGGGGACATTCCACGCACAGCTTTGTACTCAGGATCTCCCGAAACAGGAGCTGATCCAATGGTGAAATACTGACCAACCACCTGAGATTGAGAAAACAAGTTTTAGTTTTGAAGTAAAGTTTTGCGGCGCTCACACGACTTCGCACGTTTCATGGTATGCGTAGAGTTGAGTGCCTTTTTTACGGTTTCAGATTTAAAAAAGAAAAACACAGAATTAAAAATGACGTATGAATAACTAAGTGAAACTTTTTTTTCAGTGTGCTCCAAAATAGTGCACTTTTGAGCATTGTTGAATAGCAAAAATACTCGTCCACACGGAGTTAATAAACTCAGAAACGACAGAACAACCCCAGAATTATGAGTACTTTCAGACATTCATCATAATTATATTGATATAATGCATATTTTCGACCTGCTGTTCAGATGTACGAAGCCCAAAATTTTGAGGAAAAAATGTTTTTACTGCAGTTTCTTAATTTGTGACATTCGTTGCATTTCGAGAAATATGGATTTGAAATTCAAATGTTAAATCTTAAAAAAGCAAGAAAAGATACAATAGTACGTAAGTGCAAGAGTCAAACCGTTTCTTGTTGGGTTTTTTGTTATTTTTTGTTGGAGGGGGGGGGGTAATCGTCTCCTAAAAAACGCGCTTTATGGGTTGAAAACAGTTAAACGACTCACCGATGGTACAATAGTATTACATCATCAATGTACTGTGCTTCTATGTCACGGCGCGATGGAATCAGGCGCTCGTCAATTTAGGGGGATATAAAGTTTTTGATATTATCTTTACGAACCGTTTCATCTGTCTTGCTCATGCCGAAAAAAAACATGTCTTGATTAGAATTCGAGATATTTGCTATTGAAGGAGTTGGGTTCGTCTGAATCAGAGGTAAAATTCTCGTTAAAAAATAGCCGCCAACGTTTTACGACCTCCAAAGCTTGGATGTCCTTGGGAACTGCAAATTTACAATTGTTGTGCCTTTGGTCAATGTTTGTAAGTAAATTCCACCCAGAAATGTGTTTTAAAATGGACATAAAAAGTGTCGAGCCAAAAAAATGTATACATATTCGAGAAGAAAAATGCCCGACGGCCAAATAAATGCAAGTTTCTATTATTCCATTATTTTGACGAGCACCTGATTTCACCACGATGCCTCACATATACTATTGTATAATATTGCATTCATTCTCACCTGTCGTATTTTGTGCGGGGTGCAGTTGGGATCTTCGCCCGTAAAGTTCATCCAATAGCGGTCGAAAAATGAGGGTAGCACCCATACCATTTTCTTGTACCAGGCTTTTTCGGGAGGACCTGTGTCCGAGTCGTAGACCTGAGAGCGGTAAATCATCATCATCATAGCTATTTTATAGTCGAAAAACTATGTGGAGACTAAGATATCGTTAGAAAAAAAAATATTCTATGAATATCTTGAAAATGACTCTGAATTATCTAACAATTTTTACAGAGCAGATAGAACATTTGGTTTCTGACTCCATGGTCTTAGTCACCCAAAAGGACTAAAAATGCAGGATTGAATGTTGTAATTATTATGTAGTAATATATCAATGAGCGACACCGTAATGGACGACTTACAGCACACATCACTCGACGAGCTTCATCCTCATAGAAAGAACCCAGGACAATACGTGCATCTTTTTTCTGCAAAGAAAAATAAGCATAAATACAGAAATAGGAAAGGGAAATACTCCGTTTAAGTCTATTAAATGTATACCTGAAACGTCACTTGCGAAGTACGCTTGTAGTGATATAACTAATGGTGTCAAATAATAACAGTATTTTTAAACAAAATACAGACTTCATCTGATCTGTATTTTCTCCTTTCTAATTTAGAAGAAGCAAACGTTTCTTGGGGAAGTGAAAGAGGGGGGGGGGGTAGGGATATAAACGCAAGGAAAATGAACAGATTGTGAGAAAGAAAGAGGAGAGGAAGGGATAGGAATAGAAAATAGGCAGACCGTAAAGTTGGGAAATATGATGTTATCACCCTTTAAAAAGTTATTCATGTATAAAAATCGAAAACTAGAAAACATTTGGTAAAAAGTTGGAAATAAAGCACTCACCTTGAAAAAAGGGTAATATAAAAGTAGAAAAGGGAATATACTCTGTAAAGAGGCGAAAAGTAGTCACCTTGAAATAAAGTTGTATAAAAACAGAAAAAGAGAAAAATATCCTCAAAAAGGGAAAAAGAACTCACTCTGAAAAAAAGTATTGCTTAGAAATAGAACAGGAAAAATATGTAAAGAAGGAAAAAGTACTCATCATGGAAAAAGGTTGCATAAAAATAGAAAAGAAGACAATACTGTGTTTTAAAAAAAAGGGGGGGGGGATATTCAGCTTGGGAAAAAACGTTGCTTAGAAATAGAAAAAAAAAGAGAAAAAAATTGTGTAAGCAAAAGAAAAAGTACCCATCTTTGAAAAAAAGATTGTATAAAAATAGAATAGGGGAAAACGTTGCTTAGAAATAGAAAAAAAAGAGGGGAAAATGTAAAGAAGAAAAAAAGTACTCATCCAGGTTTTTTTTTAAAGTTGTATTTTAAAAAATGTTATATAAAAAGGGAGGGGGGGTATTCACCTTGGAAAAAAAATTGCTTAGAAATAGAAAAAGAGAAAAAAAAATCTGTACAGAGGAGGAACAGTACTCACCCTCAGAGTTTCCACCTTCAGTTTGAGATCTGAGTTGGTAATGAGCATCTCGTCCTTGACCTCAAAACCCTCGTTCTGAAGATCTCTCTGCACCTCCTCAAAGAGCTGAGGACGTAAGGAGGTAAAAGTTGATCAAAGTGCCATAGACAGGTTAGTTGGTTACCTAAAATATTTAGACTTAAAATAGTATCAAAATCCTTTCAATATGTTACTAAGAAAAAGTTAAATGTGTGTAAACTTATTTTTTTCGCCCACTCCTGCCCACCCAGCAGTAATGGGTAACTGACTTCGAGTTGGGAAAGTAGAGGCGGTTTAGAGGAACTGGCCACCCTACCACTATAATATGCTGAAGTCCAGGAAGTTGTCTCACTAACGAGGCAATTCCCAATGTCCGGATTGGATGCGGGAACAACTTTACTTTTTACTACTTTTTGGCCTTTTCACCCCTTTTCTCAAAAATGGCTTTGCCGACAACTGGGACCTTTCTGCAGGCATCCACCCAAATAGAGAAACAACGATACGATAAGCAGTTTTATCAGAGGCAGTTATACAGAAACATCAGCAGAAACTACAGCAACCACAAAACTAACTACAACACCGTAAACAAAACTCATTCAATGGTTCCGGGTTCGAATCCCGGTAACGACCAAACATTTTCTTCTTTAAATTTGTCTCCTTTCACCTCCATTCCTGCTCTCCAGCAATGTTCTGTCGTCTGCTTTCGTCTCCGCTTTCTGCCCCCACCCCTCGCCTCCTTTGCCCCCTCCTTTGGGCTCCAGACTCTTTCTGCAGCCTCTCTACTGCTACTCCTTGGCTCCTTCTTACTTCTCTCTTTCAGCCACACCCCTAGGTAAGAGGTAGGTCAGATCTACACTTAGCCTTCTCGGACAAAATATCGGAGGTCGCGTGTGCAAGTTGTGCACGCTAAGGATCCCTTGTTGGTCTAAAATCGATAAGTGCAGGCTTCGGCCCCCAACCTGGCAATATTCAAATAAAAATTCCACACGCTCAATTGAAGTTATGCAGTTGCGAGCGCCAGACAACACTTACAAAAAACAACAACAACAACTGAAGCAGAAACACGATCATAGCAACAGCAAACAACAATAAGATCAAAACACAGGAATTGAACTCGGGTCTTCTGCTTGCGATAGCGAAGCGCCTAACCACTACACACCAGAAACCGTTCCCCAAACACGTGCAAAATAAAAAGAAAACTGAGCTCTTTAAATCCTCGTATGTTTATAGTTGGCTAGGTGTGCAATTAGAAAGATGGATGGATGGATGGATGGATGGATGGATGGATGGATGGATGGATGGATGGATGGATGGATGGATGGATGGATGGATGGATGGATGAAGTAAATAGCAAACGAACCGAAGAGAAAAGCTTGAAGTCTCGGTATATGACTAAGACTCGTGTCCAGTTGAAGACCCTGAGGAGTTCTACGCGTGCGTGAGTACGATTCTGCTCCGGAGTCATCACGCGGAAGAACGCGGGGAACAAGTCCTGATTGGACAGGTGAGGAGAGACTGCTGAATACGATATCTGTGGAAAAGACAAAAGCAGAAAACATGGGATTTATTCAACAATGACAGCAACACTAACAAAACATCGCGAAGAGGCAGTAGAAGCAGGAGTAAAGAAGCAACAACAGCAGCAACAACAGCAACAAAAACGCTATTTTAAAAAAAACAATGAAAAAGAATTCGAAGCAGGAGCAAAGAAGCAACAACAAACAGAAAAAATAACAACAACGACAAAAACGGAAACAACCACAGCAGCAACAACAACAACAACAACAATACCAAAAACAACAACAGCGCTCACCTGCAGCATTTTCCAGAGGTTGCTGACCGCTGCAGTGGCCTCAGTCACGTGGGAGCAGGTCCCTCCCAGCGCCATGATTGAGGTCCTGTTAGGGTTGTATACCTCTTTGTAGAAAGCGTCCAGCCCTCGAGCCTCGGAACACTGGAAGAGAGAAGAGACAGAAAGAAATTAAATTTAGTTTAGTTTATTTCGTTTAGTTTAGTTTAGTTTAGTTTAGTTTAGCTTAGTTTAGCTTAGTTTTGTTTAGTTTAGTTTAGTTTAGTTTAGTTTAGTTTAGTTTAGTTTAGTTTAGTTTAGTTTAGTTTAGTTTAGTTTAGTTTAGTTTAGTTAGGCCACATTTTACAGGTAAGTGTTGAATATCTGAAGTGTTATTAAAGAGTTACATGCATAGAAAAGAAGGAGGAGATATTATGATATAGCTGTTTGAAAGAAAAAAAGGAGTAAACCATACCAGAAACATCCGCCAACCATCCATTTGGAGCACAGAAAGCAGAAAAAGGAAGGAAAATGGAAGCAGTGGAAGAAATGTTGTACATGTACTGTTCGCAATCTTAGAATTACAAAGTTCTATCTGACTTTTGGCCGTTTTGAGTTACTTATACCATGATGTCTGAAATTAAATGTTCTATCAAAACCGTAAGATTACTCGGAGTCGTTATCAAGATATTTAAAGATATTAATGTTTTAAAAAGCTTGACCTATTCTTACACTCAAAATGTATTTGACGTCAAATTTCTCAAAAATAGTCACTGATCAGATAGAACTGTGTAATTGTAAGTTAGTGATTTACTGTACTTTGAAAGGGATATAAAACGAAACTGGGGGAAATGAACTTACGTTCGTGTCGTAGGCGTTTATCTGTAGCCTGTAGTTGGGCAAGATGCTGGGGTCCTCGTTGATGTGCTTGACCGCCAACAGCGCCGCTGGCAAGTAGGACTGGCCGGCCGGGTACGGCCCACTCATAGCAAACAGACCAATCACGTGCAGGGTCACTGGGGCTGGGCTCGAAGTCTTTCGTGGGACTCTCGAACTGGTTTTGGAGACGATTTGCTGATGAGGCCTGTCCTGTCTTGAAATGTCACTTTTCAGATTGGAACCGTGTTCGTTCGCCTGTAGACCATGGTGCGCTACTTGTTCCACCAGAAGAAGAGATATTGTGCAGAGCCAAGGGGAAATTTTCCTGAAGCCCGACATTGTGCTTTATCTCAATATGTACGCAAATTCCGGTTTTCCCACAACGCTTGAAGACGAGCTGTTTTGAGTTTTGAAAAAAGAAGAAGTACAACTTTATTATTCATAAAGATTTTCTTGTTCTTTTTTTCTCTTTATATCATACTTTAAAAGGCAGACAATAACATATATAGTATGGGCTGAAAAGACGGACTTTTAAAATCTCGGTATTGTCAGATAAACAAATTATGTCGCGTGTTGAAAGAGGCGTTAAAGATAACCCCAACCAACTCATTTGTTGAAAAAAAATAGACAAATAAACAAACAGGGGACTCTATTTGCTGGAATACGGAGCAGAGGACCCTGCTTCGAATCATCAACAAGTGGGTGTTCTGATCTTGAAATCGGGTCGTTTTGTGGAGTTTTCAAGGTTCTGAACCAATTTGGCTCCGCCTTATCGGAGATGGACTTTAATTTGGTGACCCCTTACGATCTTAGATAACCTAACTGTGTTTAAATGGGTGTTCAATCCATACACGGCTTACTTTCAATAAAAAAAACAAATTATACTCGGTGCACGGTCATATTTTGACCTTATGCAGTTGTGAGCGCAGTAAACCTCTTACTAAAACTTTTAAAAAACTCTCTGTCTCGGGGTTAGGCTTCCGACCGGGTCGCATCCGTAGAGTTGCAATCCGTGTCCTGTGTTTAGGCCAGACCTTACTCCCCTTGACACTCAAGTGTCTGGTGACGACTGTATCTAGCTCCTGTCTGACATTCTGTGTCGTATCTACGTTATCCAAATGTTCGCAAGACCAAAAAAAAAAAAAAAAACACATTCGTGTGTGTGGGAGGGGGGAGAGGGGGGAGGTTAGAAGACGTCACTAAGAGGCCCCACCTCTTTTCTTTCCCTCTGATCTTCCTGCCTGCCTGTCTCACTTTTTTCTCTTCACACAAAAAAACATGATTATTATGTAGATGTACTGCTCACCACCCAAACAAAGAGGGGAAAATGAACAAATAAACAAACGCTTTCGTTATCCATATGCTAGCCACGTGTATATTAGAACTAAAATAGTTCTATCTTTGTTATGGGTATACTTTTTCCTCAGGAAACAAAAGTTTTCAGTCATAGTCCTGACCCATCGGCCATCCACAACAGGATGGCTTGTCACTGTGGTGTGAAAGATTCGGAACAGGATGTCTAGTTTTAAAGTAAATGAATCAAAATAGGATGCCAGGTCACTATGATGATAATGGTTAAAACAGGATGTCTGGTTACTATGGTGTTAAATTAAATGAATCAAAACGAATATCTGGTTACTATGGTGTTAAAGGATCAGAACAGTGTGGCTCATTACTGTGGTGTAAAGCATCGGAACAGGATGTCTAGTTTTAAAGTAAATGAATCATGTATTGTATCCAAAACAGGATCTGTGGTCACTATGGTGATATATTGTTAAAACAGGAAGTCTGGTTACTATGGTGTTAAAGGATCAAAACAGGATGCTTGGTAACTATGGTGTTACAGTTATTAATGAATCAAAGCAAGGTCTCTGGTTACTAAGGTGTTAAAATTCATGAATCTGGACAAGATGCGTTACTATTGTTTTAGGATCAAAATAGGATGGCAGGCTACTATGGTGTTAAAAAATCAAAGTGGGGCTCTCGTGGCCTATAGGTTAAAGTGTTGGTCTCTCATTCACAGGTCCCGGGTTCGAATCCGAGTAGCGACCGAAACATTTTCTCCTCTAAAATTGTTTCCTTTCACCTCCTTCCCTGCTCTTTAGCAATGTTCTGTCGTCTGCTTTCGTCTCCTCTTTCTGTCTCCACCCCGTCACCTCCTTTACCCCCTCCTCTGAGCTCCTGACTCTTTCTGTAGCCTTTTTACTGCTTTTCCTTGGCTCCTTCTTACTGCTGTCTTTCAATCACATCCCTGATCTTCTGGTAGGAAAGGTATACACCCTGCCTACTTGGTAGTCTCTTGGTAATCTAAAATCAATAAGAGTAGGCTTCGGCCGCCACCTGGGCAAAATTCAAAATTTCCTACAAACTGAAAAAGTATAATGTGTCCCGCGCGCTCATATGACCTTATGCTGTTGCGAGTGCCGTAAAACACTTACCCAAAAAAAATCAAAACAGGATGCCTGGTTACTATGGTGATAATGGTTAAAACAGAATGTCTGGTTTCTATGGCGTTAAAGTTAATGAATCAAAACAGGATATCTGGTTACTATGGTGTCCAACACTCCCCCAAAGGGAAACCGTGATCTGGCTAAAACGTGTAAATTTGGGATAAAGGCAAATATACAGATACAACAGAAGGATAGAGAGAGAGAGGGAAGAGAGAGAGAGAGAGAGAGAGAGAGAGAGAGAGAGA